CACTACTGCCCAGAGGCTTTATACGCAATCTACAGCACGGTTAGCAGACCCACCACACATCAAATGAAACACGAAAACCACAGCTTTCAAATGAGCCGGGCCTTGCTCTCATCAGACAACCATAAGGTACAGCAGTTGCCGGCGAATATAGGGTACTTTTTCACTGCTTTCTTGTGCGGGCCTGAAAAAAAAAAACAGAATGGATGCGAATTAGACTAGCCATGCATGTAGAACTTTTTGGAAACCCTATGATTTCGCGCACGCGCACATCAGACCAGCGTTGGACACAACGCAGCCGTTGTCGAGTACTGCACGCTGAAAGAGGGGCCTCTCAGCTATCGGCCGATGGCGAAGCCGAAGGGCAGGAGGCAGCCGACTGGTGGTGTAGTTGGACGCCCTTCCAAGTCGGACAAGAGAGCCAAGACAGCAGCAGCGAGAGGTGCGTTGGCCCAGGAGAGCCTCCAAGCTGAGCTCGAGCAGCAACGTGCAGCGCTCGCGGCGGACAGAGCAGAGATGGCGCAGAGGGAGCAAGCGCTCAGAGCGAAGGAGGCTGCGTTCGCCAAGAAGGAACAAGAAATGGCGCGCGCCGCTCCTCAGCGGGAAAAGTGTGAGCAGCAGGAGGTTGAGCGCGTCCAAGCAGCAGCTGCTGCTGCGGCGGAGAAGGTTGCTCAGGGCCTGGACTACATGGACACATCTGTGCACGAGGTGAAGCCGAAGAAGGGCGAGGTCTGGACCCAGTTGCAGTCAAGGATGGTCCTCATGCTACTCTTCGACCTCCGCAAGGAAGGTTGCTCTGAGAACGAGGCGGTGTTGCAGGTCAGTACACAGCAGTGAAGGTCGGATGGTGTGGCACAGCAGCAGGCCGATGTCTTTTTTAAATATTCATCTTGATCAAAGAGGGGTAACGGTTGGTTTTTGAATCTATACTCCGGAATATGTGCTGTACACCCTATTTTTGCTGCCAACAGCAGTATGTTCATGTGTGGTGTGTGTGTTTTCGTTGCATTTATGTCGGGCGCGAGCCTTTGCCGTTCGTTACACGGTTGACTCACCTGTCTACGTCACACAAATATTCAGCAGGAATACATTGTACTGTTGTACAGCAGTTCTTTACAGCAGTACTTTACAGTACCTGAGCAGGCTTGCATGTGCGATGTCTCTCGGTGCAATGTCCAAGTGAACTGACCTTATTCATAAACGATGTTGCTATTTTATCTCTTTTCTGGACCTCTCTATGCTGGCAGGTTGCGCACACTTTCAAGATCGGCCACGACAAGGTCAGACGCATCAACATCCACTGGTGGGATCACCGCCAGTTGTACGAGACCACCGCCGTGGGGAGAGGGAAGACGGCAAAGAAGGATGATGGGCGACGCCGCCCTCACCGAAGTACAAGAATATCAACTTCGCGAGTTCAACAATGACGAGCACAAGGCCGGTCGTCAAGTCTTTCGCCGCACGGTGGCAGAATGGATGCACAGGACTTGCAACATGGAGCAGCCGTCCAACCGTTCGGCAGGAGGGCTGCTGAGTAGGCTCGGCTACAAGCGTCGTAGAGGCAGGATCAAAACGCCACCGTTAAACGCCGAAAGACTTGCTCGCATTCGTCGGTTTCTTGTTGAGATGGACATGCCAAAGAGGGCAGAAGATACTGGGATAGCAGTGATCGTGTACATGGATGAGAGTTTTGTCCACCAGGCTCATGGTTCCCCCTATTCTTACTTTCCTTCGGACGAGGATGGAGTTGTGCAGGATGGGATTGGTCGCACAACGGGGAAGGGCTTGCGCATGATCATGGTGCATGCAATCACGAAGTGGGGGCCGTTGGCTAAGCTTTGTGATGGGTTACCGNGATGGAGTTGTGCAGGATGGGATTGGTCGCACAACGGGGAAGGGCTTGCGCATGATCATGGTGCATGCAATCACGAAGTGGGGGCCGTTGGCTAAGCTTTGTGATGGGTTACCGATCGAAGAGGGCTGGTTCAAGGAAACGGGTAGCGGCAAGAAGGAAATGGAAGATGAGGAGACGGTAGAGTTTCTGTGGCAGGCTAAGTTGGCAAAGGGCGATTACCACGCAGCAATGACCGACTCGATGTTCATGGAGTGGCTTGAACACCGCCTTAGCCCTGCGTAC